GTGAGTGCTGACCGGAAACACCCGTCACTCTGGCTAGGTCGACCCCCCCGATGTGTGCTGGACGTCGACGAGCGCGATGGCAAAGACCATGTACGCGATGAACATGTCCCTCTCCGGAACATCCACTGTGACTGAGCTTGTCCCTCTAGAGCGATATGCGCTGTCTATGGCGCTGCTCACCTGCGAGCGAGCCAGGATTGGTAAGTGGGGTGTCCGATACTGGAAGTAAACATCGACCAGATGATCTGCGACATGGCGAGGCGGCAGCGACGCTTTGGCCGGGGTCGACTCCAACAACGAGAAGTCATGAAATGGTTGCTGCTCTGGGACAAGTGACGACGACAGGTTCTCGATATGAATGGCTGCCAGAACCATATTGGCAAACGAGATGCCGCTACTCTGGCCCAAAAACCGCGGCTGCTGGAAAGGTTCAACCACAACCCTTTTAACTTTTGTCACCAAATCCTGGAAAAGAGGCGAGGCTTCATCAGAGGCAGACTGGCTTGCCGTCGGAAGGATGCCTATCTCGTGGGTTGAGGCCGTGGAATGAGGCGTTGTTGTAGTGATTGCCACCTCTCCGTCCGCTGCTGGAGGATCCCGTGTGCGTTCTCGCAGAAGCTGGACTTCCTGTGTGAGGGCAGCGATCTGCTCTTCCAGGCTGGAGATGTAGTCACGAGGAATCTTGTAGCTATCAGCAGAGCAGGCCAGATACCCAGAGCTTCGAGGGGAAGGAGAGATACTGACATCGGCCTGCTTCCCGGCATGATACGTGAGGCACGGGACGTTGGCGTTTTCGCAGCTGGAACATTGCGGATATCTCTGATCGCACTGGCAGACTCGGCTTGTCATCAGCGGCTCAAAGCGCTGTATCGCGATGGTTGTTGTGTTGATACCTTTTGTTTTCTCCGACGACACCTGCGCATCGATAAGATTCACCATCCAATCTTTGACCATCTTGTTCCTCTCACCTCTGGCATGCATTCACTCCGCCTCTGATTCTCTTCTGATCGGGAGACATTGTCTATCGGGATAGCAACTTGTAGGAAAGAGACGATACGGATGATTGTTCTGATGAAGGATGGATAAGTTGATGGGATGGAATGAAATGTGCGTCGGCAAATCCCGACACGGGCGAGTCTGATAACAGAGGCGGGACGCTGATTCGATGCCGTCAACCACATTCAGCAATTGACAAGCGATAATCACCTATGGCATTGAACAAGGGCATTCGAAAGATATGTGCAAAGAGATGGCTTTATTGAGGCCTCATGGCGAGCGATGGTGTATATAACATCGCAACTCGACTCGACTCGAATGGGGTGGCCGTTCAATCTCCTTCAACACCTCCTCCCGTCTGAACAACAGGTTCATATCCTCAGACAAGTCTTGCCTTGAATCAGCCCCCAATATGGACATGGCCAAGGAGAATGAAAAGATGGCCAAGGATACAGTCTACGATGCTACCAGCATCACCGAAGATCACGCAGTTGGCACCACCACCGCCTTATACATTGAACCCGCAAGGGAAGCAGCTGTGCGCAGGAAATTCGACATCTATGTCGTGCCAATATCGGTCATCTATCTGGTCATGTCCACTCTTGACCGTAACAATGTGAGCCACTGTTGCCTTGTGCCTTGGGGAAGAATATCTTACTGACTCTTGCTTGGTCCAGCTTGGAAATGCTCGCGTGTTTGGGTTTGACCAAGATGTCGGACTGAAAGGTGGCCAGTTCGGTAACATCCAGACGCTGTCGAGTGTCTGTACTGTTGTTTTTGAGGTCCCTTGGGTCCTGGCCACCCGACGATGGGGTGCCAAAAAGGCCATTGGGACTGCGTTTGTCCTCTGGAGTATCTGTACCCTTGGGACTGCGTTTGTTCAAACCTACGGTCAAACCATAGCCTGTCGCATGTTGCTGAACGCTGCCGAAGCTGGCCTCGCTCAGGCCTTTGCCTTTCTGTTCTCGACCATCTATCCGCGAGAGCTGGCCGGGAAGCGGATTATGACCACCAACCTTGCCCAGTGTATCTCTGGTGCGTTTGGCGGTCTCTTCGCGTACGCTGTCCAGACAATGGGATCCCGCCATGGTCTTGCTGCGTGGAGATGGCTTTTCATCATTGAGTTTGGCATCACCATGGTCATCTGTGGCATTGGCTTGTTTTTCCTGCCAAGCGAAGTCGAGAAAGCATGGTTCCTTAGCGAAGAGGAGAAGGAGACGATGAGGCTCAAGAAGGAACGAGACTACCTGATCCGAGGAGAAGAAAAGCTGGAGCGAAAGTGGATCAAGATCGCCCTGACTGATCCCTTTGTCTACCTTCTTGGTATTGCTTTCTTCACTTCATCCGTCGCTATCAACGGGTTCGGGGTCTTTCTACCCACCATCATCGACGGTCTCGGGTGAGTTCTAGTGCCGGGGTGGTCCACCATTCTTCTGCTGACATATTTACAGCTTTGCCTCCCTCAAGGTCAACTACATGACCATCCCAGTCTATGTTATCGGTGCCATCTCCCTATGCATCCAGGTCTACTACTCGGACAAGCTCCGGAAGCGAGGATTCTTCATTGTTGGATGTTGTGTCCCTGTCGCCGTTGGCTATCTGATGTGCGTGGGGTCGAAGAACCCCAATGTTGGGTATGCCGGCATGTTTGTCCTTGTCATAGGTGAGTCAAAGTTGGCCTTTTCCTGAGAGGTACTTCGAACTGACCTCCACCCAGGGCTGTATCCCATTTCTACTTTGGCGGTAACGTGGATCACCACGAATCTCGCACCCGACACGAAGCGCGCAATCGGCCAGCCCTTTGCCTATAGCTTGGCTAACGTATCCAACCTCGTTTCTGGACAACTATATCCTAGTCAACAGGGTCCACGATACGTCCCAGGTAACGCCATTTCGGCCGGTCTCACGATTGTGGCTGGATTTCTCTATGCATCGTGCTGGTTGCTGCTGAAGAGGAGAAATGCCAGGAAGGCAAAGATGATTGCCGAAGGAGCCACCACCAACGGCAAAGAAGGCGATCAGAGCCTTGAATTCACGTATATTCTCTAAGAAGTTGGGGTTCTGCATCCGAGGGGGTGGACATCAAGGTGGCCTAATATGCCAGTTTGCGATGGGAGAAGCAGGACCAAGGCTGTTTCTTGGTGGATGGATGTAACCCCAACGTCCTTGGGCTGTGCATATCCCAGTCCTCAGGGTCAATATTGTCATCCAATGGTGGTTGCAGAAGCCGGAACTCATTCCTAGCTGCTCACTCTGCGAACAAATCAAATTCCATCTTCTCGGAACCAACCATATGATATCCCCGTCCATCCATTATACGAATAAGACGGTGGTCCGAAGACGCACTTTCAGTAGCATTCGTTTCCGCTCTAGATCTTGCTCGAGAATACTGCTTCCACGGACCCAGTGGCTACTGACAGCATGGCTGACGACAAAAGCCGGAGTCGATATGCTGTAAGTCGATGCTACTGTGCTTGTGTTTCCTAGCGCTTCTGACCTGCCCCTGTCTAGTGCGACTACTGTTGGAAGAAAAAGGTATGTCGACGATAAATTGATTGGATGTGTTGCTCATCTACGCGACGATACAGCTCCGTTGTTCTCGCGAGAAGCCCAAATGCAAAAATTGCAGCGCTTGGACGAGTGATTGCACCTATTCTCGGGAACCATCTGACAGCAAGCGTGGCCCGGATGTACACACCGAGAGCACGGCAAGCGATTTGCTAGAACAGGCTGGTCAGCATAGAGACTCCAGTTCCGGACTCGCAGTTCTTCCGAGCTGCTCAGATACTTCGACAGCCCAGGATCAACAGCCAGGATTCGGCGATGAAACTCACTCCAGTGTCACTTCAACCTTTTCCGACACTCATAACGTACTCAACTTCAATCAGATGCGCAATAGTCTGGCGGACATCACCAGTCAAGGCAGCGGCATGCTTTCTGACCTTTACGATCAATTCAAAGACTCGACTTATGACTATGACAAGATTAAAGCCGCTGTCAAGATGGCCAGACGAGACCATGAACCGTTCTTTATCCCGACAGAGCCGATTGGGGCCATGTTCATTCAATGTAAGCCTTACCAGCGTGACTTGACATCAAAAGACCCAAAGACCTGAGCTGACGTCCTCAGGTTTCCTCACAGTAGTTGATCGAGGCTACCCGCTCCTCAGTCGGCCTCCGCAAGAGATGCTGTTTGACTTGGTCTTTCGTCCCTCTTCGGTGGATAAGCGAGGATGGGTGCTGATGCTGAACACCATTCTTGCCACTGCGTCGACACAGAATCAACAGTTGTCTGAGTATACATTCCAACTGCGCTGGAATGCTTGGTTAGCTGCGGACGAGGCCAGCCTCTTCATGGAACCAACCATTCTCAACATCCAAGCATGGACAGTCTTCGCCGTCCATGGACAGGATCTGGTCACCCCCAGCCTCTGTTGGAACCTGATCAACCAGGTTTGTCGCATGGCTCAGATGATCAAGCTTCCACTTCCGTCGGCATCTGCGAAAAGAGACAGCGAGCTACATTCGCGCAGCCTGTGCCTCTTCTGGAGCCTCTTCATCACGGAGAAGTCGCTGTCCCTCTCGTTCGGATGTCCTCCAGTATTGCCTTCCGCACTATATCGCAATCTCGAGCTCCCTTCTCCCAAACAGCTCTCGGCATATAGACCTCATCTTTCTGGCGCGGGAACGGACCGTCCGCCACATGTCGAGTTCTTTGGAGCATTCTATTTTGTCCAATGCACCAAGCTTGCCATGATCATGGGCGACATGTCGGATTTCTATCTTCTCAGCAGTCATGACCCTGGTCGTCATCTGGAACTCAAGAGGAGACTCGATCAATGGATCTCTGTCGTCGAACAGGTGAGTAAATCCGATGAGAACGAGTAACTTTGCAGAATGAATCCATGCATACCAATCTCGTCGCCGCAACCGACCCGGCCAGTGTCTCTATCAGAATTGGTGTCAATTCTCTCAAGTACCAACTAGTACCTTATAGAGGACACCTTCGACGGAGTACAGACTACGCGGAATTTCTCGGCTTTCCCCGGACATCCAACGCCTTCAGTAAGTAGTCTGGCTCAGGCGTGAACGACTGATAACAGCGCGGACACGCCGCTTGGCGAATTCCACTGCCTGTAAAGTCGGCAATAGGTGAATTCAGTTTGCAAATCGGACAGTTAACCTCAATGTCCAGAATGCTGGAATATTTGGTCGCGCCAGCCTGTAAGGCTCTGTCAACCCCAAGTCTGTACTCTTCCCGCTCCATCCCGGTCAACTTGCTCTCAATCCAGTAGATATCGTAAAAACGTGTCTTGGTTTCCTGTCCTGCGTGAACCCGTCCCAGTGTGGCAGCATTCTCCACACGGAAGCTGCCGTCTGCACCCCATGTTTTGCCCCATGAATTAAGGAACGTGAGCGAGCTAGCATCGCATTTAGTCATGACAACGGCGTGACCGCCATCGTCAGGTCCTGCTCGGCTAGGTTTCATATGGTTGTAGGTGAGCACAAAGTCCGGGCCGTGAATGGTTTCGAAGGAATTGCTGAATGTATCCCAGCCCTTGGATGAGAGCTGAAAAGTGGTTAACACTGGCCGTCGGTGCAGCACCGCCTGGCGCGCCCCATCTTCGTCTACCTCTTTGAACTGAAGCGGGCGATACTCGGCAGTCGCCCAGTCAAGTACTTCAACAGTACCGCGCCCTCCTGGCTTTGACGGAAACGCGTTTAAGATTCTTTCTCTGATCGCTTCGATGGTGGGATAGCCCCCTTCCCGACCTACAATGCGGAGGAGGGCCATGTGAATTACCGCTGCTATTGCATGCGCGTAGCATGTCTCCGAGTCGCCCTGATCTGAAGGTTTCTTGCAAATGCGTACATGTTCATCATCGACGAATGAATCTAGTTGTACTCGACCTAAAATGTCCAACAGTGTCTCTGCCGAGCTGAAGCGCACCGACAGAAGCATTGAACAGAACTCGTCCAGTGCTGTGGTGCTACATACCGCAGTGTATAGTCTGCATTCGCCGGCTGAGGGTATCTCCCAGCCTAGCGATGCGAGAACTGGTATTGGATGTTTACAGCCCGCTACCGGGGAAGCCATTTCGAAGAGGGTGTGCTGACCTTCATCCCAGTCGTTGTCTGGACGGTAGTACAGGCGGCGAGCAGGGGTCTTTTCGTCGCTCGTGAGGTACACTGCCGCAATGTTGACGCCCCCGTGTCGCAGCTGACGGGCAATATTTTGCGGGTCACCATCCGTGGACGCGCCATCGGAAATTAGCACGAGGATGCGCTGCTCGACATGCGGCTCGACCCCTCGAAATGTGGCCAGTGACTTGCCCAGTGCGTTTTGCAGCGGAGTTCTGCCATACATAAATGGCCGTAATGTATCGAGCAGACTTCGTTCACGTGTTTCTTTGTCTTGGCCACTGGACCTCGAAGACGGGTAATCTTGCAGTTTCTGCAGTAGGTCTATGACCGTGCCGACTGGACGTGGCACAAAGTTCTCAGAACCTTGCCACCACTCTGTGCGCATTTGTCGAGCGAGCTGCATTCCATCTGAGTTTTCCACATGGTGATCCTCAATGTAATTCGCACCTCCTTTTCCAACAAGAAACCCAGCAACGGCGCCTCCTATAACGCCTAGGGGTCCAAGCCAGGGACCGACACATGCCCCAGAAACAGCGCCAGCGAACTTGCCGCCGTTCCGAAGATTGTTCTTGCTTTGCTCCATCTTCTCTGCAGATGGAATGGCTTGGATAAATTCTTCAATGCGCTCTGGGTGCTGCAGGAGATACGTGTAGATAATGCGTGCGTCATCGTCGGTAAGTTTCTTTTCAATATACTCCGTAATATGCGATAGATTGTTCTGATTTGCCAAGTGGATGAGCAGCTCATACCCAGTTTTTCGGCCGTCGTAGCCGCTGAGTAGCCCTTCAACCACACTACACAAATCAACCACCGGCGGACTTGTCTCTTCGTCTAGTCCGAAAGCACCGACGAACACGAGGACGTTGTTGGAACGTTTCTGTTCTGCCTGGGCGATCTTGAGCGCGGCACGGAGCACAGCGCCGAGGCGCTCGCCTACGCCCCTATTTGCGTTTTCATCGGTACGGTCAGGCTCTAATGCCTCGCGCATAGAACCGGAAACATCCAGAAGGCAGCCAACAATTGTGGGTAGCTGATCCGGCATGGCTACTATTATGGAGAGAAGGTTTCCCAAATAATCGATGACAGGCTCCACTTCAGCCAAAAAGGGCTTGAGGTGGATCAAGCGTTTGCGATATCCTTGGCCTCAGCGAGGAAAAGAAAGTCACAATGTGTCCATAAGGATACTAAAGTATAGGTAGGTTTCGGGATTGTCTGTATTGTGAGGTTGACATTCTGCCAGATAGTGAGTGGAGGAGAAGCCTAAAAGGGGCGGTATATTTCGTGTATGGCAGCCAAAGGCAGCCAAGGGCAGCTTTACGGCGGAACACCTATTTCACAGACGTGCGATCAGTTTGTAATCGACCGTTGCCGCTATTAATGATCATTGCCGCAGTTTCGCGGGTAGGGCGATATCCGTCATGTACAGTAACACAGTACTTTTACTAAGCCAATACTGTCAGTTCATTGGGATGCCTAGGTTGCCTGATCGTAGCCAGGAGAACTGACAGCCTGTAAGCCTCGTTACTGGTCACGTGTCATGCCCGTTTACTACAAGCCAGTCCACTACAACTAGGCTAAGCCTCAACGGACCCGAAAATGGGAACCAATAACGTGCATCCCTATGTAATGAAATGCCCGGGGCATGGGCCCACTTTTATCTTCCACATTTCTCTATCGAACATAAACGCGAGTACGGCTCATTGGAGGAAAGGAACTGAAGCGTGCATTTTGAATTGGCTATATACCTGCATAAAGTACAAAATTACGATATTGGTGTGACCATAATGCGCGGAAATCTGCCGTGCCCATTTGGTTCTCCTCCTTTCCGGCACCTCCGGTGAAACAATGCTCTACCGCTCGGAATGCTAGAGAGCATTGGGTATCACCAGACAACTTCTCCTGCACGTTACAAAAGTCCGAAATGGAGAGACTCAGTGGTTGGTGGGTGCTGTGGTGCATTACCTACCTCGTCAACGGTTCTGTAGACGATAAAGTGGGCCTCCGGCAAGAGCCGAGGACAAGCCGAGATCGCTCGGCATGAAGGTAATACCAGTATCGTTGCAGTATTGTTATGGCTTGGATGGCCACCTGATTTAGGTGACCACGTCAAATTGCAGCCGCATAGTCAGTCATTTGAAGACAGTTCCTTTGCGTTTTTACCGATCTTTTCCCTGCGCGCCACAAGTTTCAGCCTCATCCCCCGTGCCAGCTCTCCTGCGCAGCCGCGATGCTGCCTTGTACCGGCTAGATGCGCCCATCTGGAGATACACCTTCAGCCTGATCGGATATTCTTCACCATGAGTCCATATAATCGCCGGGTCAGTCCTGGCCATGGTCCAGCATTGAATATCTTGGAAGACATCCAGCCGCCTATCACTGTCCAGCGTTTGCCGCGCCTGCCTCCTAACTAACTTCGCCGTCACCTCGCCGTCATTGCAACCACCGCGACTGCCTTTCTTCGCCCGGTCAGTCTGTGGTATCCCCTAGCGGGTCACAACGAGCGCTCGAGACTTTTTAAGCCATAGGAAGTACGGTGTGCTTATCTAGGCCGTACACGTACTCACAACGTGCCGCCAGAGCGCACCCGACACCATGCGGCTTCTGAAATTCGACGATCAGGGCGAGCTCAGCCCGACCGGAGACCTTCAAGATGACATCCCTCCCTACGCTATCCTCTCACATACATGGGGAGACGATAAGGATGAGGTCAATTTCGACGATCTGAAACATCAATCTTTCAAGAACAAGGCTGGCTACGCGAAGATTCGGTTCTGCGGCAAGCAAGCGAAAAAGGATAACCTTAAATATTCCTGGGTGGACACATGCTGCATCAACAAAGCGAATAATACAGAATACTCTGAGGCCATCAACTCAATGTTTCGCTGGTACCGCGATGCGGCCAAATGCTATGTTTACCTGGCCGACGTGTCAATCCCTGACGGGGAAGACCATGCAGAACGGACATGGGAGCGGGCCTTCCGCAACAGCAGGTGGTTCACACGGGGTTGGACGCTTCAAGAACTACTGGCGCCGGCATCTGTCGAGTTCTTTTCGCGAGAAGGGCAGCGGCTGGGCAACATAAGTACCCTCGAACAGCAGATCCACGAGATCACGGGTATTCCCATTACGGCTTTCCGTGGCACTCCTTTATCTCAATTTAGTGTGGACGAACGCATGCAGTGGGCAGCCAAACGGAACACGAAGAAGAAGGAGGACCAGGCATACTGTTTGCTTGGGATCTTTGATATCTTCATGTCTCCTATCTATGGTGAAGGAGACCACGCTTTCATCCGGCTTAACAAAGAGCTCGGTCGGTCCCCGCAGAGTACGTCTACCACTCCATACCCAACCCCCCCGTATACCTAACCTATCTAGGCATAAACTGGGAGAGTGGCAACATACATCCGGGCAGAGGTTTGGTCAGTTTCCCGTTGCCGAGGAACAAAAACTTTGTCGGAAGGGATCAGAGCCTTCAAGAAATCCACAGGATGGTCACTTCTCGCGGTTTTCCAAGATCCGGCAGCGTTAAATGTATCGTCAAGGGAATGGGAGGTATCGGGAAAACCCAAGTGATTCTCGAGTACGCTCATAGGTATCGAGAAAACTTTTTGTCTGTTTTCTGGATAAGGGCCAACAGTTTTGAATCTGCTGTGGAGAGCTATTGTACCATCGCACAGAAGATTGGACTGAGTAACAGGCCTTCCCCCTGGAGCATCGAAAAAGACCTCGGTAGAGAAGCAGTTTTCTCTGTCCAAGAGTGGCTCACTGCCTCTGAAAATGGCAATTGGCTACTGTTATTGGACGGTTGGGATAACTTAAAGGACGAGAGGATGGGGTCTTTGATCCCTCATGGTGGTTCTGGTGTGATCTTGATTACAAGCCGAAGGGAAGACTGGGCTCGGTATGGAGATGGTCTCGATCTCCCATTTATGAAGGAGGCAGCTTCGCTGTCACTACTTTCAAAAAGCTCTCTGGCGGAGTACGGACAGGGTAACCCGGAAGGTAAGATTCTGTACATGGAGACAGTAGAACTTTATGACTGACCAAACATTAGAGTTCGATGCTGCGAAAGAGATTGTGAGAGTACTGGGGAATCTACCTTTGGCCGTTGATCAAGCAGGAGCACATATCCATAATCTGAAGACGTCGGCCAGAAAATACCTCTCACGCCTTAAGGAAAACGCAGATACGCTGAGTTGGACACCGCCGATTAACTTGTGGCCATATGGCAAGGGCGTACTAAGTGCTTGGGACTTGACTTTCCAAGAGCTTGAAAGTTTGAGCCCTAAGGTTTTTGAGATATTGCAGGTTTGTGCGTTTCTTGCTGGCGAGTACATTAGCGAAAACTTGCTCAAATTTGGGTTCAAATTTGGGCAAAAGGGTAAGTAGCTTGTTAATTCCAAGGCGAGACGGACTAATGCGATGCAGACGCCCTAGCTCGGGTTGTGGAAGACGGCATGGGAGACTTGTTCTCCTTCTCTCTCGCAAAACGCGAGGGCGATGATGACGGGTTTTCAATCCATACAGTTCTTCAAGCATGCATTCGCCAAAGACTATCTAGATTACCCGGCCTTCAACGACAAGAATTTACGGAGACTGCACTCTTGGTTGTTGCCGGTGCTGTGCAGAAATTGACATCGGAGCGCCAACAAGATTGGTTTACTTATCGGCAAGTGCTGTCACATATTACAAGCTGTGAGGAGCATATCGACGACACCTTGCTACGCAAGCCAATTTTTGGCTCCACAAGAGCGCTCTTCATGCTCGGACAGTTCTGCGATAAGTTCGGTCGACACGATCAGGCAATTCGCTGGTTCCAGAGAGAACTCAACACAGTGCCACACCTATCCGTGCAATCAAAATTAGAATGCCGTGACGGCGTTTCAACAGCCAAGCTCCTTAAAGGCCAGTATAATGAGGTATTGGCTGAATTTCATGCTCTCTATGCCGAAGCGACTGCTCAACTTGGTGTACAACATGGATTAACTAACAAAATCGCCCATAGTTTGGGTATGACTTACAAGAAGACCGGATCGCTCGAAAACGCTTTGAGGTGGTACATGACGTCCCTGTCACAAATAATGGAGATATCCGGCGAAAAAGATCACAGAGCACTTGCCACTTTGAACAATATCGCGGTGATCTACAAAGAACAGAAAAAGTATGGAGAGGCGTTCGAAATATATCAGGATGTACTAAGGAAAAAAGAGGAAGCATTAGGGGAGGAGGACCTCTCCACGCTTGAAACAGTCATGAATATCGGCATCTTGTACGGGCGCTGGAAGCGATACGACGAGGCGCTTCAATTCCTGCAACGCGCTCTCTGCGGAAAGGAGAAGCAATTGGGAAAGGATGATCCCAAAATCCTTGCAGTGAAAGGCAATATCGCCAACGCATATCTCGGAAGCGGTCGGCTCGACGAGGCTATCAAGCTACATAAGGAGACGTACCATGGCTATAAAAAGGTCTATGGACCGGAGCATCCTGAGGTATTTACCACGGCCAACTGGCTAGGGAAGGACTATTGCCAAAAGCGGTGCTACGCCAAATCACTTGAATGGTATGAAGAGGCATTGTCTGGTAGGAAGAGACTACGTGGTGAGCATGACGCCCAAACATTGGAGACCGTTGTGAGTATGGCAGGAGTTTTCCAAGTCCAAGGCCAATTCTATCGGGCATTGACTTGGTATAGTTGGGCTTTGGAGAGACTCAGACATGGCTTTGGTTCGGAACACTTTGGGACACAATCGGCGGAACGTCAGCTCAGGGCTCTCCTTCTTCGATGGCACCGGTTTTCAAGGGAGACGCAATCCAGATGACAAGCGAAAATCATCCATCTTAAATTTGGACCCGGAATTGAGGAGGAAATGATATCCACAACGTGATACCGATGATCTTATCCCACTGCAAGCGGAGGCCGTGGTAGCTCTGGACGGGGAAACCTCCATTGTACTCCTGAAGAGCTGCCAGTAACATGGGAATGTAGAAGTCGAACACCCCGGCTTCACAGTTGTTCTTGTCTTGGTCGTGGGCAAGGTGGTTACAGGCGTTGATGAAATGTAGCCTTGCCGAATCCAGCCTCTTTGAAGATGATGCTCTTTTCATGCCACTCGTCGTGCTCGAGTTGGGCTCATTTGAAGTCGCATTTAGAGTAAGGGCTGCAGTTGCCGTCTCGGTAGATAAAGCTAAGTGACGAGAGCGAAGCACTGCCGTCACTTCGATTTCAATGGTAACGCCTGATGTCATCGAGGCAACAGTCGTGGCAATCATTCAAGTGATTCCACATGGCCTTGTCGGAATCGAAACTTCTGTGGCCTTTGTTCCATTTGGTGTTGCAACCGAAACATTGCCAAAGATGTCCATGGCTATCGTGAACACCGAGAGGGCCAGGCCGTCTGATGAACTGCAATCTGTGGATGCCCCGTAGATGCTCGATAATTTCGCCTAGAGTCCCAAACTCCTGCTCTGCGCAAGACATGTTTATGCATGTGTATGAGGTTTGAAGGCCCATAATCACTGCTCGGAGGCCTTTACAAAGTAATCTTCGACTTGTAGGAATCGCGATTTTATGTTGGAGGGGTACCGACGCCCACAACACCGAACAAGGCGAAAGCGCAAGGACGGATCTTATCTCAGGAGTCATGCCCATCCATGGCAGGCAGATTATTGCGGTGCCCGTGCGGCGCGTGGGGGCCAAGAGCGGCTGACCTCGACCTTTTTTTTCCCTTGTCTTGTCTTGCCACGACCCCGAGGATTTTTATACTCTGTACTTCTTGTCGACATCTGCAAGGTCTATGCTGAGCTGAGAGAGTTCCCTCGACACACAAAAGTCACTCCGCGTTTCGGTTCGCAGAGATGGATTTCCTACCCACAATGCTTAAAGGCCGTCGCGGCGCCGCGGCGGCAGCAGCAGATACCACCAAATCAGACCCACCCGTCGTGGTCACCGCGTACTACGAGCAATACAAGACCGAGAACATCCAGACTGTCTTTCGGGATTACTTCCCCTCAGAGGAGTCCAGCCAGGAAGAAAGGGACGTGCTCCTGGAAAAACGCGTCGAAATCTCTAGGAAAGCCGAGCGTCTTCAGGCGGACAAGAGGGCCTTTAGTGCGGCTAATCAGCAGGCGTCAAAGGAGCGGTTAGGACAGGGTGTCAGGTGCTATGACTGGGCGTATGCCGTGCAAGACGAGTCCAAGGATGCGGACGAGAAGGAGTGAAGGTCGAAGTCTTCTTGGACAGCTGCCGTGGACGTTGTTATACGCAGCCAGTATGGACTTCCTGGCCTTCAGCTGGTCATCACTTCCGCCAGCGACATGGAGTATCTGGAGACAGACCCTTCAGGGAGCTGCCTACCTACGAGCATGAACCGGACCAGACGCAAAAGAGTGATATTGATGGGTGCCGCACCCAGGATCGCAGACTCGCTCTGAAGTGATGTACAAGTTGCTGTTCACTGGCGATGACTTCCAAGCGCATCCCATCTTTCAATCGACAACGCAAGAAACGACACAGTGACATGCCATGTCTGAGCAAACAGTCTCTCCTACCCTCCCTTTTCTCCCTCGTCGCTCTCTACCCGTCTCTCTTCCTCTTATCTCGAACGTTTCACACAAAGACCCTCACCCTCAAACACAGTCCAACACAAACAACCACTTCCACAAAAATCCCAACTTCTAACAAAAAGTCGTCATGTCCTCCGAAGACGACTACGACTACACCCAACACTCCACCGCCAACACCCGGGAGAAATACTCTTTCCTCTACCCCATCGGCGCGGGCTCCTCGTCAGGCTCCACAGACCACTCGTCGTTCCGCGAAGTCGCATTTCTCGACCGCTACCGCGAGAACGTTTCCATCCCCCCGGACGGGTACGCGAGACACAGAGAGGAGAAGCAAGTCGCGAGCGCGGATAATGATCGCGCGGCGCGGGGTCGGGAGGGTGCCGACTCAGAGGGCAGGGATTGGGCCTACGCGAAGTCGGACTGGAGACATTGGGATTCGAAGCGTCATGGTTAAGCACCATGGACAGGTGTAGGGGCTGGGATAAGGGGTAGGCGGGCGAGTGTGTGTCTAGCTTTTGCTACGGGTGTCGTGGATACGGCGGTGCATCTCGGATGCTTTGCGAGTGCTGTCTCGAATATCTCTTTGATTTTGGGAGAGGTATAGGGCTGGGGGACTCTGTTATGGGCTGCGGGCTGTCATATAACAGACAGACAGGTGATATGTATAGCATGCATGCATACCTGCGTGCAAGGATACGTGCATAGACTGCCTTGCTAGAGTGAGAGGTCGAATACATATCAGCCATGACTATGACTATTGCTCTGTCTATATTCTTCCTTCTTTTTTTCTATCTATTTTCACGGCTTGAGAATCAGATATCGCATTGTTACAACCGTGTTATACTTGCATTGCCTTCTGCTTCGAGGGGTTTCGGCGATAGTACTTTTCAGACACAGACACAGACACCGTGCAGAACGAACAACAAGATCAGCGAAGAGATGTCAAAGATAGGCAGAGGGTGATCTGTCTGTCTATCTGTCTGTCTATCTGGTCAAGGAAAGGGCAAGGGTAGAAAAGGCAGAAAGTGAAAATGAAGAAAAGGAAAAGAAACGTTGAATCTCTCCTCTCTTCTCCTCTACTTTGATCTATACCTACTATCGCTTGCTTGCTGTGGTACCGTGTATGTATCTTTCCAATATCACGCCTATCTAAGACCAGAGAGTCATGACTGTCCTCGACGAATGTTTCTACATCTTTGAAGTGTGTCTCATGAATGACTGAACAATCGAACAAGTCTAGTCAGCAACTGCGTTGGTGAGTACTGCACTGGGGGGCCCTGCGCTGGTGATCACTACCTGGTGAGTCCGTGATTTGATGGGCACCATGCCCGGTATCAAGTTGACACCGATAGAGACCATCTAAGTCCTTTGCCGATTATGAGAAGACATCATCACCCTGTAATCCCCCTATAGTCGAGTGATGTGACCAGTAACCAGTGACCAGTGACTAGCGGCTCCCTCGCCCCACGCGACGCGCAAGAATTCTCAAGAGTCGGCATAGAGCGTTGTGATCGTGACGATTCAACTCCTCAGTTCCGCCATCGTTGACGGACTCCGTGACAGGCAGGGTGCCAGGGTGCCAACCAGGTCTGGTTCATAAAGAACTATCATAAAGGTCGTCAACAGGCTACGATGCCAGGAGCAAACGAACTCAAGGTGATACAAGGAGATGAGATCTTCTTAAATATGTCCGTTTTCTTGAAGCGTTCTTGTCTTGTCTACCTAGATACCTCATCGATCGAGTTGAAACGCAGACGAAAGAGATCCGACAGAGACACCACAAGAAACCACGCGACAATTTCCACAGAACAAAACAACAGCCTCATCTACATTCCAATCAACCTATCCACCAATCGACATCCACACCAGCGAGATCTCAAGTCCCAGGACGAAAAGAAACCCAATGTCTTCCAATTCAAACTCCAACATCCTCCCGAAATGGTCCACCCTCGGTGGCCCGCTCAAGAACCACCCCAACGCGACATACTCGTTCCCGACGCGGACCATGTTCAACGCCGACACGGGCACGTACGTCGCGCACCCGACGTGGTCCAACGACGCGGCGGCCCAGGACCGCGAGCGTGCGCACGTGGTAGGGCGGGATTTTGCATACGCGAGCGGCGACCCGAGGCATTGGGGGTCGAGAAATCACGGGGTGTGAATCACCAGTACTAACAACAAGGGCACTGACGAAGGGTATGAGGGTATGATCGATGCGATGGATATGAGGTGTAAGCGGGGATGTCAGGGACAGGCAGGACAAGGGAAGCTCGGTCGAGTGTGCATATGAAGTACTCAGTATACCTCAGGTACTTCGACGGGATTAGGTCTCCGAGGTCACGGCGGATCCGAAGTGACGATATTACTGGTCGATGAATCCATGTCAGTCGCTCGCTTGCTGGTGCTGGTGTTGGTGCTGGTGCAAGACGCCACGATCAATATGTATGCGCTAAAGGCATCAGAACTAGCGAGTTAGTGAGACCTTATTATCGGTTCTCATGGCGGGGTTGCTGCTGTTATAGTCCTCGTCACTAGCGCCCTTGGCTGGAATTAAGCTAACGCCGTGCCCCTCTGCCCCTGTATCACACTAGCACTAGCGCAGATGCAGTGACATGTGAGTTGAGGACATGCTCTCTCACTCAGTCGTCGCCATCTTATACGCGCGTTTGACTTTACCGAGTAGGACGGGAAAGAGAAGTGGACGGCGTACAAGTTTACCAAAAGTGTCTATGATACCTGGATGCCCGCTCAGTTCCAAAGCCTTTGCTCGGTAATCGAAATCCCATCTGATTTTACATTTCGACATCTCTGAGGGATCGGATCTACCTCGTACAATTTCTTTCGTCCTCTGGACTTCCTCAAGATTTGGGGATTCATCACCCTCTGGAGTCAGCGGTTACGGACAGCAACACGGTGGGCCTATTGGAAACCGAGAATGAGAAACCTGGCAGCCCGCTGGTCAAGCCAACCAGCCAGCTCCAGTCATAGCAGATGAGGTTTCTTTTGGAGTGCATTGCGCACAGACCACAAGTGACTCAATGTAAAGTCGTAAGGTCTTGGGCGGCCCGTTGGGATAGCCACGCCACATTATCTTGAGGACGGTAACCACCCCCTGTGATCAATGCCCTTTCGTAACCAGTCATTTCATAGCACAGATTTGTGTAAAGTCCCTGCATAGTTTCCTGATATCACGTAAGCCACCGTTCAAATAAAGCGTGGTGAGATTCATTATAGTTCGCCAGACATTACTCTCGTCTCTTTCCTCCTCTTTTAATGCCAAGCATGGAGTGTTACTGAGAGAAGAACAATCTGCCAACAGAATACCTGGATGTGCCCAGTCCATCTTCACTGGGTCTGATCCGCCCCATATAAGCACCGGGTGGTTGGAGGGACGGGTAATTGGCTGTCTACCTGCTGCCGGCATATCAACTCAAGACTGGGGTGTCACAGTGTCGTGATAAGCCAACTCCGTCGAGGACGCAACGGAGCCAAGGACAAAGAATGAGCAAAGCGACGTAGGCCGAACGCAGAGAACATCCACACGGCATAGGGCGGAATACGTATGGTATGGGATATCCGCAAACACCGTCAGCCATGCCAGACCACCCAGGAGCTATCCAAAGATTCCTGGGTAGAACCTGTCCGGTAATCACTCTCATGATTTGCTGCTGAATATTTGCTGTTCTTTTATCATCGCGGACGGGATCTGCGGACGTCGTTATTTTGCTCGAGGCACTTGGGTTTCGTGCGGGCCTTATTGGTGGCTGGCTGTTCACGTTGTCTAGGTCGTCGTCCTGAACTGATATCCCGTTTCTTTGTGTTTGGTACCAATTTGACTTTGGTCACCCTGGACGGACTTACAGGACCAAGAATGCTCTTCCCGGGAACTTGAGCGGTCTTTTTGGCGTGGAGATTCTGTAGTCGGGTGCTTCGACGCGGTGGCTGCGCGTCCCCCACAGCACTCTGAATCATACTCGGCTCTGGGTCGCTAGAACACGATGACCGTGTATTGTGTCGTCGACTCGGCTTTGTCTTGTCGGGTTTGGATATCCTGGAGGAGTGATTCGAACAGAGGACAGACTTTGATCGAGCAGGATCACGCCGATGTGGTCGAGGACGCAGGTTTCGCGTCTCCTCATCTCTGGCATTCCACAAAGATTCGCCCAATGAAGGGTTTCCGTTGTTGACAGGATGTCCGCATTCAGCAGCGATGGCTAGATATTGATCGTCGATCCACTTTACATATGTGGTCCACATTTTGACATCCAGTTCAAGCCCCCTGAGGTGACCTTGAGCAATTCGAACTCTTCTTTCGAGTATTATGAGATCGTAGCCATCACGGAGTCTCCTCAATTCGTCAGACCCAGAAACCGCTTCCAATTCCGCCTTGGCTGCGAAGAGTTCCTGTTCCGCTATCTCCACCGCTCTCGTGTCTGACCTGCTCAATGCTGCCTGCGATGCCTTCTCGGCTGATTCCACTCTCGACTTCGCTTTGGCAATCTCGTGTTCCGACGCGATAATATCATTTAGCCGGCCATATACGACGTCGCTATCGGCGATAGCGTCGTGGAATCGTATTCGACCATCTGCCCACGCTTTCTCATCCAGTGCCAGTTCCTGCTTTGCGGGCTCAATTCGCCTCTCGGCCTGCTTGAGCTTTCGGAAATAGAAGGCTCGGAATTCATTCCAGTCCTCCAGTCGATCTTGTTGGTGTCGGTCTTCAAGCACTCGAAGGTCCCATTGGTGTGCTATTTCTGCCTGACTTTTTTGGACGGTGTTTTTATACTCTTGGAATCTGTTTCGCGGCACGTAAAATCTCCGCATCTGATCTTGAAACTGTCGGAACTGTTTCCATCTGTTTCGCTGACCGGTGTATGCGCATGCATACCCGCAAGTACAGCGCCAAAACCAAATAATGTCCTTGTACTCCCCCGGTTCTTTCGGTTCGTCAATTCCAAAACTAAGTGGATGAGATGGCCGGCCACCATCTGCCACCAGCTCTTTGTAGGATTCCTGTTCGACTCGCCAGCACTCCCGACTGTCTTCTTCTTCGTCAATCACGGGGGTGGCAGATAACGAGCTGGAGCGGGAGTAGGGTTCAGCTCCGTCTGAAGACCGAGCCTGATCTCTTTCGACGCGTTGATGGTACAGTTTTCTGAATCATAGAGCGAGTCAGCACAAAATGCACTTCATCTAAGGATAGGGGTCAATGGTCTCAACTGCAAATGTGCCAGAAGTTCGGCACTTTCATTCTCTGGGTCTCTGAGGTTGATAAACATTGCATCACCGAGACCCTCTACCGTCAGCTGCAGAGCCTCATGTGCGAATAGGTTAAGCTCCATGATCAGAGCATTTCTAGATGATCGGTAGCGGTAGGTGGTCGAAGGGTAATGGCAGAAGTGAGGCTGTTGTGGTGGCCAAAGCGCGACTGTTGAACAGTAATTAACGGGGGCAGTCACCAGACGTGGCAGGATACAGGGTGCTGGTTGGCACGTGGCTTGGCAACTTAGCCTGTGGGCAAATGCTAGTATTAGCTCAGGCGCCAGTGCGTTACCGTTGTGGGGCACTAGAGCTGGTCTGGTCCCCGCCTTTCCAGCCTGGTTGTTATAACGGGGGCATGCCACCTGGTCTGTCCAACGCAGAGAACAAAGTTCTCTCTCCGCCTGCCGTCTTGCCTTCTTTCAAAAGAGACATGGACGACATGAATACTTTCTTGACCCTCACTCCTAGAGACGAATTTGGTCTCGCTGCTGATGCATTCCGTCTGCCCCATAACAGTTCTCGATATGAGAGACCCGTCGCACTCCTAGATGACGGCCCGAGCCGTGAGACAACGCCTCAAGCACCGGAAGACGAGGGCACTCCTGTGGATCTGCTCGAGAACCACCACCGGATCCGTCTAAGTTTTGACCAGCAAACCAAAGTCAAGGGCCGGGTCACGTTTGGTAGTGACCCCGAGCTTTGTGATGTCCTGCTTACCTCGAGAAGAGGGCAATACAGAGTCAGTGGGCAACACTTCTGCATTACGTTCGACGCCGAAAAACGCCCGGTGATCAAGGATACCTCGACGAATGGCCTCATTGTCAGCTACAGCCGTCAGGCAGAACACGAGCTACGACGACACTTCCAGTGGATCATATTCCCTGACTTCGACACAATAACCGTAAAAATGTGGAAGAAGAATGGGCTCGAATTTGACGTCCATCTCCCCCGGCATCACAAAACACACGTGAGGGAATATCAAGAGAACGCGACGAGATACACGGCGGACGCCCCCCCAGAACACCTCGTGGCTTTGAACAATCTGGCCTTCCACAGTACGGAAACCTCATTAGCCGCGAGTGAGGACCTTCCGTCTGACAAAAGACCGCTGTATTTACGGCTTAGTATACTGGGCACTGGTGCTTTCGGACGTGTGTGGAGGGTAGTCAATGCCAGCACCGGAGCTGAATATGCCAAGAAGGAATTTTTTCGCCCTCGAGGTTGGGAGAAGGAGATTGAAATCATGAAAGAGCTCGTCCATGTATGGCACGATATTATCCTTTGTCTGCGGCTGCTGATCTCTTCAGGACCACATTGTACAACTGATCGATTATGCGACGAACCCGGAGCCCCTCCTGGTGATGGAATACTTACCACTAGGAAATCTGGAAGCAGGTCATAAAGTTTCTCCGTTGAGCGACACCGACACAGTGAGCGTCCTTAAACAATGCTTGGAGGGTCTCGTCTGCCTGCACGGCCAGAGTATCACGCATCGGGACCTGAAGCCGGAGAACATTCTAGTGTTCTCTAGAACTCCAATCCACGTCAAATTAGCAGACTTTGGACTCGCTCAGAATAGACTCGACCTCAAAACCTTCTGTGGTTCTCCAATGTATGCGGCTCCGGAAATTTTTCTCGGCGGACACTACACTAACCGTGTGGATATCTGGTCTCTTGCTGTGATCGCGGTGCAATACGGCTATAACCTCCCTTTGTCGGAAAGTCCTGAAAATCCCGCGGGAAAGGACACAGACCTTTATGAGGCCCCCAACAATGCCAAGGGAAAGGAAAGAGACCTTCGACTATGGGGCCAATCCTGGTGCTCAAAGCTGATCATGTATGTAGACGATTGGGATTCGGACCCTCTCATCGACTTCCTTGGCGACCACATGGTCAAATGGGAACCTCAAGAGCGACAGTGTGCGGCCAGATGCTTGGAAATAGCTTCAGAGATTGGTCTTTTCCACGAAATGTCTCCGCAACTTGGAAATGTTACCCCACGCCTTCAGTCTCATGGAGGATTGGAAGATATTGATCCGGAAGAAACATCGACCATCAGGGGACCATTGTGGCACGATACCAGTGCATCCGTGAGAAGTAAAGGCGGTACACAACGGCCAGAAACCTCTTCAGCCTGTAGTCATCAGTCTTCCAAACATCAAGAGAACTACGACACCAGGTCTACAAAACGTAGACGGTCCAGCATTGATGCTG